GATGACATATATGCAGACGAAATACCAAGTACATACATAAAGCAGAGTATGCTACACATTGATTCCAGAGAGAGCTGTATACTTCTGAAGCTATGACCCAGGTTCTGAAATATGGGATTATTTCTACTTGCTTTCTTCCAATCATATTTTCAAATTGATACAAAAATCCTTCCCCAAGTAGTACACTATTAGAAGACCAAGATTTAGGGATGTTAATTACAGGAAAGAAAAACAACAAAAATACCTCACCATAAATTAGTCATCTTTTGAAAGACTTAATCATGGTGAGTTAATACACTTGAAGGAGTGTTTTCTTCTTAAGAATAAAAGAGTGAACATTTGGTAGAGAAAAATACACAGTACTTCATATAAATATCAAGATAAGGCTTGTGGTGGGGAGATGGGTGCAAAATCCTGGGAACCTGGGTCCTCACTTCAGAAGTACATTTTAATTTGGGTACTTAATTGGGGTACTCATAAGACATATGCACAAATGAGGAAAAATTAAGTGCTACCTTTCAATACAAAAACAAGTGGAGCTCTTTTGATATGTAAGATTCATACATGAAGAGAAGAAAAGAAGCACCTTAAATACACCAGAGGGACTTTTGAGCACATTATTACCAATGATTCCCTCAGATTATCACAATTTATGGGTCATGTGAAACTTCAATCATTTTCTTCCTTAACAAAATTCATGGAAGTATGCAGAGTCTCAAAAAGAAATATCATACTTACACACACACACACACACACACACACACACACACACACAAAGACACTCACAGACTGCATGGATGGTGGAAGATGCATGGTAATGTTGGCCAAGCCCACAAAAGCCACTGTATTTCTGTGCCAGCTATTCTTCCTGATTCTCAGCACATATGCAACTCCACTCCTTCCTCACAGCACCTGTAGACTCTGGACCAATTCTTTTTCACCGTAACACTGTGTGCAAATATTCAGTTTATAATAAAGGATTTTTTTCACATTTCAATGTTCATAGAAATGTATCTAGTACCAAAAATGTAAAATCTAAAGATAGAAAAGTACACAGTAAACCTAACGTGTTTGTCATATATTCTATGGGAAAAATGGAATAGTTCAAATTATACTTTCTTTATAGGTATCATAATTCAGACTATTTTTAGAGAAGGTATTGCATAGTTTTTCCCCAGGTCTTTTGCAGGGCATATTTTACATCTTTATTTCTGAAGCTGTAAATCAAGGGATTCAGCATGGGGATAACCATGGTGTAAAATACAGAAGTCACTTTGTCAGTGTTGTTGGAGTGACCAGGCTTGGGCTGCACGTACATAAATATCAAAGTCCCATAGAACACAAGGACGACAGTCAGGTGGGACCCACAGGTGGAGAAGGCCTTGCGCCTGCCCTCTGCAGACTTCATCTTGAGAATGGCTATGAGGATGAGCAGGTAGGATACAAGTACCATCAGAAGAGAGGAAATCAAATTTAAAGCTGCTAGGATTAGATTTATCGCTTCAACTTCATGTGTATCTGAGCAGGCAAGAGATAACAAGGGGAGACTGTCACAATAGAAATGACTGATGACATTGTGTCCACAGAAGGACAAAGTGAAAATCTTTACAGTAATTAGGAGAGACACAAATGTGCAGTAGAGATAAGGCATCACCACCAGGACCCAGCATGCTCTTGGGGACATGATGACAGTGTACAGCAGAGGGCTGCAGATGGCCACATAGCGGTCGTAGGACATGGCAGACAGGATGAAAAGCTCACAAGCAATGAGCACAATAAAGAAAGCCAGCTGTGTAGCACAGCCACAATAGGAGATTGTATTCTGATCTACTACAAAATTTTCCAACATTTTAGGTCCCACAGCTGTAGAGTAACCAAGATCAATGAGAGCCAGATGCCTGAGGAAAAAGTACATGGGTGTTTGCAGTCTGGAGTCCACCCGGGTGAGGACGATCATGCCCAGGTTGGCCATCAGCGAGGTCAGGTAGATGAAGAGGAACAACACAAAGAGTGGGACCTGCAGCTCAGGACGATCTGTGATGCCCAGCAGGATGAATTCGGTCACCACTGTGAGGTTCTGTGACTCCATCTGGGGTGATCAGAAGATGTACTCAAGATAGAAAGATTAGCATCAGTCAGTAGTTTTTCAATATTATCTGCTACTGGGGAAATTTTACTATACAGAGTTATTGCATAGAAATTGGTTCAAATTTTGCCATTTG